AAAAAAAAAAGAAAAAAGAAAAAGAGAAAAGAATATAATATAACGTACAATATCTAAATATTGATCGATGAATCACTTGGGATAATGTGTTAAGCTTACTTAACTTTTTTCAAATCAACACACATACATGTATTCGCCGATAAATAATAAAATTCACCCTTCACTGTTATTTTTTAGATTTGGTGTAAAACACCAGCATGCAGAACTGAAAAGCCATTCCATAACTTTTACATAACATGACTTTGTATAACGAAATATCCTCATGCTCTAGCTTGCCAATGACTCTAGCTTGTATATGTTTTTACCGTTATTTCAGTTGATATAGTTTGGCGTTAAAATACACAGTAGAATACAAAACTCACTGAAAACTGCAAAGCCATTAATGCCATTCCTTTTACATATCATGATCACGAGCTTTTATTATGAAAATCGTTCTTATAGAAAGCTTTATGTCCAAAATATATATCGTATATCGTATATCGAAAACTCATCTGATCATGAGATAAAAAGTTTTCTTTTTGCTGTTCGCTAATCATGTTACTTACATCACCAAATTCAATTATACTGATCCTAATTGTATGCAAATTCGAAGACATATCGTAAAGCACATTTTCAAGATCAGGATCGAAGACCATTAGCCTAGCTGTCCTCACGATTTATTTTATATTATTGCTTCTTCATTAGATTTTAATGGAAAATTAATGAAAATAACAACGTAGGAATGAAGTCAAAAGCTAGTCAACATTCCCCGCCTCAATTGTCATCGACATTGAAATGATACCATATACATGTACTCAGAATAGATTCATTTTAGATTGGGGGCAATGTTTTCTCATTTCAGACCACGTTTCACTCTCTTGAAAATAAGATTCTTCGTTCTAGTTATGCAACCGTTAAAGAAATAATTTTATTCTTAAGAGAATGGCACATGGTCTGAAATGGGGAAAACACTACACGCCAAAGGGCCTATTTTCCGCGCATGGATTCAAATAGTTAGCAGATTACAGTTAGAATTGTGTTTTGTTTTCCAGTGATTTGACATGATAGTGTTGGTATACCATCCAAATCCGGTCCAAATACCTCCTGGTAAAACCATTAAGACGGAGGATTAGTGCTATTTTTGAGATAAGATGTTATCGATGGTTTGTAGAATTATTACTGAAGCTACTTTGAGGAGCTCCTAGCTGGATCGGGTTACTGATTTTGGTACGTGAGTCAATGTAAAAAGGAGTATACGAATGACTTGCTGTGCGACATGGAAGATTATAAGTGAATGGAATGAGATGAGATCAAGAAAGGAACAATGTATTGATTGGACGAAGAAATTCAAATGAATAAAGCAACTAAACGAAAGAACGAATATGATCGAAAGATTGATAAATAAGATGAATGGAATGAAAAAAAGATGGATTGATTGACCGAAATAACGAGCAAGTTGACACAACTTGGGCGAACGGATAAATGAATGAATGATTGAATGGACGATGCAATGAACAATCCAAATAATGATGTTATAAATAAATAAATGAAAAAAAGAATGAATAAATAAAGTAAAAAAAGAAAAAGAAAGAAGAATATTAGCATGACTAATGACGACACGGAATAATTAACGAACGAACGAAGGTATATAAAACAAATAAAAAAAATAACAAAATGGATAAACAAACAAACAAACAAACAAAAAAACAAAAAAAAAAGACATTTACTTTAAAGAAAAAATACAATTTCACTATTTCAATAAATTTATACATCATTTTTCTTACCAGAGTTTATCACTGCGTTCGTTTCGAGGAAGAGAAACACCGCTAATGTGGTTGGCGTCAGTACTATTCGGTTTGGTGGTAGTTTTCTATCAATAAGATCAATAATGATCCCTGCCAAAAGAGAAAAAGGTTCGAATCACTAGTGACTCATAGCCAGTGTACGATAAGGAACCGATTCAACGACACGTAGAAAAAAACAGATTGAGAGATTTTCAATTAAGGGGTATTTATAGGCGTATTATCCTAACGAGAAGCTTCATAGGATTGGTTGTTGATGGAATGAAAATTGATCCATTTGTTTATATATTCTTTCATTTATATGATTGATTAATCGTCCGGTTATATCAATACCGGAAATGTTAGTTTTTCAATTTTTTTTTTTTTTTTTTGAAATCAAATAAGCAAAAGATCAAATAGCTGATATTTTTCTTTGACACTTGGTATATAACAAAACACTTATTGACTTGAACCTCGGGAAAGAAGCGTGTTTTGTGGTGTGGTGTGTGTGGATCACAAAACACACTGTTTCCCGAGGTTCCCGTCAATAAGTCTTAATTATTGACTGTTTTCCCATTTCAGACCACGCGTCATTTCCTAGATYATTATTCCTTTGTTTAATGGTTGCGCACGAGAAGACACATAAATATTGATGCAACTCCGAGAATCTTATTCTCAAGACAATGACACGTAGCCTGAACATTTATTTTAGCCAAGGTTAAAGAGATCTTGGAACTTCCTTACTAAGCTGATTCAAACGCTGCTCTTTTATCAGACTTCTAATTGATCAGTGATTATGAGGTTTGGCACATGCACGCTAGTGACGCCGCAGCGTCTAGATCAGGCCTTATGGATCTTAACTTCCTTATATTATTGGTATTCATTTGTCCTTATTTATCATTTGTTTTATATCATTCAATTCAACAATTTTTCTATCAATATAACATATTCACAGAATTTGCTTCATTTAGCACCATTAGACGTAGGTGGTTTATTAGTGCTTTGGTATTCCATATAAAAGTATTCGTAAAACATCTGGTACTGCCATAATATCACGAGCCATAACCACGGTATAACATAGTCAAAACCACGAAAATTAATTGGTTAAAATAAATCGTTATCAATAAAAAGATCAACCATGGTTGTTAATAATTCGACTTTTCGTCTAAAATAAACCCGAAGTACTTTAAATCTAAGTCAATGTTTTTCTTTCTTCATATATTCATTTATGTATTTCTTATTTCATATACACCTACTTGCAAGAATGTTGCTTGTCATACAAGAATAGAAAATTAGTAATTTAGTGAGAAAGGAATACATTAAAAGACAAATGAAAAAGCTCAGCTTCAGTGATCTTCTTTTGTTTTTTGATATAATTCCTATCCCACTAAATCACTAATGTTCTATTTTCGTATGACAACGTTCTAGCAAGTAAGTGTATGTATTTCGTATTTCATATATGTATTCTTCTTTCTCACATTTCTTCTTTTTCATATATTGTATTAATTTCTATTTTGTTTAGAAGGTATTTTTTATTGTAATAAGGGCAAATACAGTCGCACGATCTCGAGTACATTCGGAATTTATAGGTACAAGAAATGTTTTGAAAGGTTTCAAAACTGGACGAGTCTTTAGGCGACTCCAATGTTAGAACTTTCAAAACATCACAAGTTTCTATAAATTCCGAATTGTACGAGAAGACTGCGCGATTTTTTGATAATAATAAACTCAACAAAATTGAGCAACTTGATTGGAACTCTACAAAGAACAATTTGGGATTTAATTGCACTCCTCTTGTCCAATCAGAATCGAGTAATTTTGTTGAATGTATTATGGGCAAATACAGTCGTATTACATGAAATAAGTAAACTATTGTATTGAAGTAAAATTTTCCAGAATGTTTGGTGCCATTGCCCAAGAGGTGATGCAATGTGGAACGATGATATTTACTAGTTATACACTAAAGCCCTTTCGGGCTGTATGTATACCACGGCACACTCATCCAACATATCACCGGCATTTCCTTTTAGTACACACCAGTCTGTGGTATAGTTCGAGAGCATCGAAAATACAAATTACAAGTACGCTGGATAATTTCAAGTATGCCACGAAAAAAGAATCAGGAACTAGAGTGAAACAGCTTACGACTCAATACAGAAAATTTCCCTTATACTCTTTTTAAGCCAACCTCAGTGTTCATGGCTGGTCTCATATATCTTCCTACTTGTTGTATCGATTAAATATTTAATTAGAAATTTATAATCGATCATAATTCTCTATTTTTAATGTATTGCACTGACCCTGACCAATTAAAGAAATATTTCATCGTCTTTTTGTTAGAGTCAAGTATTGTCAAAAGAAATACAAATCTTATACTGAATATCTTATTGATGTCCAGAAAGAAAGAGTGGAATACGAAGGAGGCTGCCAGATCTTTCCTGAATTCCGACTGGCTGCATTTTCTACATTGTTTGAAAAAAATAAAGCTAAATAAGGACTCAACGAATATGCGAAACGTACTGTAACTCTAATCGAAACACCTTGACACAATCCATGCAAGGGCGGATCCAGGGGGGAGGGGGGAAGGGGCTGAAGCCCCCCCCCCCCTCCTCCCTTCAGCAGAAAAAAAAACGATGCTTTTTTATATTGTTTTTCGTTGTGTTGACGGAAGAAACTCAATTAGCCCCCTCCTAAACTCAATTAGCCCCCTCCTAAACTCAATTAGCCCCCCCCCCTAAAATTTTGGCTGGATCCGCCCTTGCCATGAGACAAAAGAAAGGGTTACGTTAAATCACCAAAAAGATAACACGACTTTGATAAAACAGCTATTTCCTTTAATTAAGACATTGATCCATTAGAGAGTGAAGCCGATCATGGTATGTTCTACGGCTTAGCTCATAAGAAGTCCGTCTTATCTGATGCGTGTTTAATTAAAATRCGCGAACGATAACATTCATAGACCTTCAAATGACTGCGTTCTAAAATCTTGGTGATTAAGGTGAACTTGTTGTGGTCTTCCTTGTGAGGAAATGAAGAACACGTACATATGTTGACCCGGTATGATGGTGGTGGTGATATTAATGATGAGGAAAGTAAAGTAACAGAGATGTTTCGGGGTTTGACGACTCATGATGACAAAGAAGAAAATTATAAACGGACAAAATTTAGGGAAAAAAGCGAGAATAATGATGATAATGACAATTGAAGAAACTAAGACAATGACTGATGACAATTAATGATAATGATGATGATGATGGTGGTGGTGGTGGCGCTATTGGTGATGATGATGATGATAATGATGGAGGTGGTGACGATGATGATGATGTTGATAATGATGGAGGAGGTGACGATGATGATGATGGTGGTGGTGGTGGCGATATTGGTGATGATGATGATGATGATAATGATGGAGGTGGTGACGATGATGATGATGTTGATAATGATGGAGGTGGTGACGGTGATGATGTTGATGATGGAGGTGGTGACGATTATAATGATGATAATAATAATATTGCTGATGATCATGGTGGTGATTAATAATGATGTTACAACCGGCGGAGCACCATCCAAACAAAAACATCCCAAAACAAACAGAATTAATCTGTCTGAAATTCCTAAGCTCAAGATAAATGAATCACCAGATCGTATCAAAACACAAAATATACAAAGCCATTCTAATACTAATAATAGAAACTACATGATATTCCAACATAATGGAGTGTAGTTTGTTCGGACTTCCTCACGATTTCTAGGGTTTCCGATGCTAAAGAGAAGGGAAACTTCACATTGTTGACTCAGTATCTGTTGATATTTTTGATGACCAATGTAGTCTCTATTTGCTTTGCTATCAAACGCCTAAGCTTCTAATTAACATCTCAATAAAGAAAGACATACTTATATGCTATGTGAGTTACAAGGCATTGCAAAACGTAGATTATTAGTTAACATCTTAGGCATTACACAGCCGATGTATCTCTAGTCATCTCGAATAATCACGATGAACCGTGAAACYGAACGTGACCCAGAACCTAAAGGTTATCTAATGCTTCTTAATGTGGTCAAGATTTTAACAAATCTTTCGCATTCAATGTTTCTCAATCAGTTGCATAAAGACACGCTAACAGTTTGACACTAGGATGGGTCCAACTTATGCAATGCATAATTGAATGTATACAGGGTGTTTATAGAGTACACATTATTATAGATATCAGTGTACTTATGTATATTTTCAGTAAATGAAATTAAAGCTAAATGGAAATATGGATTTGTTTTACTAAAATGTACTAGCAGTTTACCAATATAAGTAGATGAAAACGACTGGCCGGAATATGCTCCTCTTGTAATACAGGGTTACATCAAAAGTAAAGTATGGATCATTGAAAATACACTTGTCATTGTGATAAAGGAATACTTAGCTTATAACTAAGCCACACACAGACTTAGAAAACCAAATTCCACCAAAAGTGGAATCTATCAAAGTCTCGCAAATTAACAGCTGATTTTTATAATTTCTTTTTATAGACTGGACTAACGACACTAAATTAAGCAGAAGTTACGATGCAAAAGTATTACGACGATAATTGTTGGTCATTTTATTGGTGGCATCAAAACTGAGGTCGATACACTAAGCAATGATACTATATAAAAGCAACTGGGGTTGAATTTATTACTGACAATTAATTTATTATTTCTTTAGTGGCTTTCAAGTTCTATGTTTTTCTTCTGAGAAGTTTAATGCAAAATAGAAGTACTGCTTAGAAGTACCTTAACAGACACAGCCAGAAGACTTTTCTTGCTTTTGTATTCTGTACACCCAGTTTCGATCAAGTTTCGATTCTTGTGAAGTTTAAGGAAGCAGCTACAACCAAGACTTTAACTTGTGCGTGCCAATATGCCACTTTCTGACCAGATGTCTGGTATTTGTTTTTATATATAACAACTAAAGGAATCTTGTGGTGTTAGAAGCTTTTAACCCTTGCTGTCGCTTTACGTCTTGTATCTGAAATTATAAACACGTTCCTGTTAGTGGAGACGTGCGAGCGCAAAGTGGAAGATAGCAAAGTGCGGCTAGTTTACAATGGCGTTCTGTACGAGTGCTTTTGTCAGTACTCGCTGCTCTATCAATATTAAAAACCAATTATGGCACAGGAAAAATTGCTGAGTAAACAATCTAGGAAAACATTGTGCTCTCTTGTTTTAGGGGAATATACTTACAAGATATTTAAAAATGCCATAATGGTTTTTCTCGGTTATCTTTGTAAGATTACAGACAAAGTGACTTCATCAATTGAAAGTTCTTTCATCGCCGCGCGCGGTAGAATAGGAAGGACATGCTTGAACTCATCATAATTATGGGTATTTTAGCGGTACCACGCACCCGATAACCTTATGTTTTTTCTTTTAAGCAAAAATAATGTTTAAATTGATCATTAGGAGTACACACAAAGTTATTATATCTATAAATTCATCTCCGTAACTGGGATTCATTTTCAATAACCACCAACAGCTCCATAGCCGGGAAGTTATATACTTTGATGCTCGCGTGGTGGGCTAACACGGATACCAATTAAGTAACTCATTAAAGAAATTAAAACACGCAAGCAGTACTGTTTTGGATCCCGATTGTTCGATGAGAGGTTTATTGTCGTAGTAACAGGAAATATATTAGACTCGGACCAAATGAGAGCCCGGTTGTTTACTTAGGATTTAGGCCAAGCAAACGATTGATGCTTTTGTTTTTACTGAAATATTTTTGTACGTTAATGCTGACTTGTTGACTCAAAAGTCGTGCCGATTCTTATCTCGTGTGGATTAAATTAGGATTTTCTTTCAAAAGTGGGTTTGAAAAGTACTTTGAGAAATTTGAAGCAAAAATAGCAATCATACCAAAATTCTTTAAAATAGTATTTTCGTACCATTTTGACTTCTTTGAAATTACCGACTCATTTGCCAAGCGGTCTTTGAGCAAGTTTATCGGGAGCCTAATATTTTCATCCTATTTCCGAAAATAACGAACAGCGAATCCGTCGAGGATTTTGAATATTAGAGCTTGGACATATTTCTTGTTGAAGAAGATTAATTCTGTCAGAAATTTAACCCCTACTTGCCAAATTGTCAACTGATTAACTTTCCTTGATAATTTAATGAATGAACCCGACGTTGCATGAAAGTGCGAAAGATCACCGCAAGAGTATCGATTGACAAATACATTTCCGAAAAACTATCGATTTTCGATTGTTTTTCCGCCGACGAGAGATTAAAAAAATACTCTAAGCTCTAACTTCTTCTGTGCAAATACTTTGCCTTGGTTTTGTATGTTGGAGTAAGAAACGCTGCGAGCGCTTTGCTCTAAATATGCATTTAAATTTTAAGAGAGAAAAAAATTGCCCGAAATTTATCCGTAAAAAATTCGAAAAATGGACGAAAAAACAAAACAAATAAAAGATTGAATAACTAACCCCCAGGGCGTAGAAAAACCGTATTCATACTCCTTGCTTCCCTTCCTTTTCTTTTCTTTTGTCTACTGGACTCAGCGCGGTCGAAGAAGTTTCTTTGATGTTAGATCAATCGGTTAGTAATCCGCAAAAGCTGATTGATAGCGCAATTATCCGCCACTTTTATTAGCTTTAAATCCGACTTGCTATTTCCTTAAGATAGTAAAAAACTAATCCGAGAAAATTACAATCTCTAATGAACAGTTTTCCGCTGATATTCCTTTGGATCATGTTTCAAATCCCTTCACAGGTGATTTGGTCTCTAAGTTAGCCAATCAGCTGATTTGGTCTGTCGATGGGTCTCTAAGTTAGCCAATCAGCTGATTTGGTCTGTCGATAGGTCTCTAAGTTAGCCAATCATCTGATTTGGTCTGTCGTTAGGTCTCTAAGTTAGCCAATCAGCTGCGGAAAATGATCGTAGATGAAGAAATGGTGCCAAGTCCGGTGCCAAGTTATTATCGCGGTAATAAATAAATRCTATCTTAATTGTATTCGAAAATGAAGTGTGATAATCGAATTCATAGCTAAATGTTTCCTGGTGCCACGGTTTCGACTCCAAAAAACTCCTTTTAAGCCTGAGAAAACATTTATCAAATAATCTTGATAGCAATATATTTTGTCTCAGAGGTTTTACACCAATACATGACGGCGGCCATGTTAGACGGCAAGAACAATCATCGGTTTACTTGAGAAATCGTTCAATTCCCTAGAGCAAAGGGATTCTATTGTACTGCTATTTAACCATAGGCAGTCCAAGCTGTATTATGGGCGTGGGAGAGTGATGGTGCAAAACATCTGTTGAAAAATATTGGGTTTGGTAAAAGAAATAGGATATTTTGATTTTGAGAACAATGCAATGCGCGCCTACCCGCGGCAACAGCACGCAAAAGTCAATTATCGTTATGCGTCTGTAATGGTTTGTAAAGAATAATGCAGCGCCGTACAAATTCACCCATGGCAGCCCTTTAGGGATCGGCAGAAGCCAATTTGATGGAACAAATTTAGGAATAAAATTGTCTTACCATTTGGCCTCATTAATATTTTTAGTTGATCTGTCCTTGAGGCCTAATTARCCAACCGATTGATCTCACAATGATCATTGATCACATTTTCACTTTTAGAATAAACGCGTACGTGCTAGGTTTAGTGGCGGCTAGGTTGCAATAAATCGAGAAGTGAATCTGTCAGCAAACTTTTTGTTATAAACTTTACATTATAAAAAATCATATCTTCCCAAGTTTTACAAGGCGACCACTACAACCACGACCACCCACACAAATTTTGATGCAAATTAGCATGCAAATTAGCCAATCACGATTGAGTATTTAAACAATAGAATCTGTACTGGAAAAAAAAATAATTTTCCTTTAAAAGCATATATTTTACATTATACGAGCGTGGGTGATGATCATGTAAGTGAACAAAAACAAGTTTAAAATTCAGAATTTATGAATTAATCTGTTATCTGGCGTCACAAATGTGATTTGTGAATTTGAATTAACTTTTCTGGGTGTTCTTGGATAAGTGTAGTCGCACTGTATCTTTTGTTTTCTTCAAACTTCAGATTTCTAACCTGCTATTTTCAGCTACGGTTATTATTTTTCGCACAATAATTAAAAATATCTGCTAAAAGCTCATTGAAGCCGGCCCCACTGTTGTATCAACTACACACAAAACATTATTTTTTATATGAAGATTTATAAATATAGATAAGTTATAGTRGTCTTTCGCCCGGAATAACCTCGTTCCCAAGCACTATAAGTTATCTATATTTCTATATCTTCATGTATTTCATAAGTGCTACGCGGTCCACATATTCTCATTATTTTTTATATATATCTTAGATTAGGAGGAGGAGCCGAGCACTGACCTCCCTCAAAGTTCTGCCCTCCTTCCCCGAGGCTGTTCTAGTCTGATCATGATTTGCCGACAGTTTAACTACAATAATTTGGAACTGATGTCAGGCTAATGTGTTTTTATGGAAACTTGTTGAAAACATCAAAACAAAGGCTAAATATTTTCGATCTTTGCTCAAATAAATGTTTTAAGTACTTAGACTTAAGTTTGACTACTTAGAGTGTTGTTCAAGATTATGGAAACGTGTTGATTTTGGAAACCACCAAGGTTTTTATGGAATGTTCTTGCCAAAAAATTAATTAGGAAAAAGAACATGAAGATATAGAAATATAGATAAGTTATAGCCCTTGGGAACGAGGTTATTCCGCGCAAAAGAGCCTTGGAATTAAATTAGGAAAAAAAAATTCCGACCTCGCTGGGAAAATTAGGAAAGAGGTTAAGAGATTCTGAATAAGCATTCATCATTGATGTTTGCGCTCTTATTTCAAGGAATGATTGCTTAAAATGACAATGAGAATGTGAAGACTTAAGTGTTTGAGAGAAAAGGACAACGAGGAATTAAGAAGAAATTTGCTTTTACAAGATAAACAAAGAGTCACGATCATCAGTAACAAGGAAAGAAAGTAGAGAAGAAGAGGAGGAGGAGGAGGAGGAAGAAGAAAAAGAAAAAGAAAAAGAAAAATAAAGAGAAAGAGAAAGAGAAAGAGAAAGAGAAATAAAA